CTTCACCACCTAGGGATTTCTCAGGAACAGAGGGCTGCATCTGCTGATCAAACAGCATGACGCCCCTTGCTGTCTTACTACCATCCTGCCAACAGTCCTTTTCTGCTGGTTACCATGACAACACGAGGGGTTTAGGGGGGGACTCCTGTAACCAAAACATTACCTCAACTCCAAAACAAAGCCTGAATATCTCATTGCTGAGAAAGTTGGAAAAATCAGGTTAGGTCACATCATCTAAGCCATAAATTATTTTTAAAAAGACAAGTTCTCTTCTTCTCTCTTTTTAGACTTAACCTCTCCCTTATAACCTTTTTTTTCTGCTCTCTCTGTTCTCTCCTCCTTCTTCTTTGTACTCAATTTGTCTCGTTTAATTCAGGGAACATGTTGAAACAAAAGTTCTAGGTAGTGAAAACATTTAAAATCATAAACACAGTATCAACATAGAGATAAAAACAAATGGAGGAAAGGGGAAAAAATCTTAAAGGTAAAAAGATTTAAAGGGCTGGCATAAGGCTGGCAATAAAACACATAACACACTGTCCTCCCCTCACCTAGTATAGCCTCCCCTTCACCCTATCAGCAGAGAGTTGCACAACACCGCCTAGCAAGAGTGTCAGTCACCATGGTGATAGAGTATGCACTGACAAATATTGTTGGGGGATTGTACAAGATTTTTTTTTTTTTTTCTTGTTGGTCTCTGCTAGTGGCTTAGTCTAGGAAAAAGCCTTGACACAGATTGACCAGGGAGCCTCCGAGTCTTGCCAAAAATAGGACAGAGATAGAGAAGGATTTTTTTTTCTGCCCGGTTTGACATTTTCCAAGAGATCTTAAGAATTTACTTTAGATGAGAAACAGTGTGGAAGAGTGGGAGGAATCTGTGTGTTTTACTACAAAGACAGAAAAACTGTGTCACCCCAGTGCGGCTGCTGCTCATCACAGGGTTTATTTCAAGTTCAGAGCCGCCGACAATTCGACTGTCGCCATGACTGCCTGTGTGGAACGAATGCCTGCTGACCTGAGACTACATGTCGTCTCTCTCTCTCACTCTCTCTCTCTCTCTGTCTCTCTCTATCTCTCTCTCTCTCTGTCATGACTCATATGTGCCTCTGTACGCCCAAACACAGACGGATTCATGACTTGATGATTTCTGGCTACGCTATGAGTCAGCCTCAGCACATGCCTCCTCCGTAGTTGTGTAGGCTCAGCAAGTCCTGGCCTCCTTCCTGCTTTTGTCATCAGTTCTCAGTGTGCTTGAATGTCCTGTTCTGAAGACTCAATTGAAAAAAATATGTCCTCTGTACAATTTCTGAAACTTTTGATGGGAACAGAGTGTCTCTGTCACTTTTGATCATAATCATTAATCCTGTTTGTTTTGTTTGTCACTTGGTGGTTTCATACCACTATGTACTTCTAAAAAGTAAGTAAAATGAATGTGACAATGCAACAGTGAGAGTAAGCTCGGTAATTAAATTGAAAAAAGAAAAAGAAAAATACAGATGTAGAAGAAGTTTGTGGCCTAAAAGAAATAAAAGTAGAGGTAAAACTTCACATAGCAACAGTCGTCTCTTTAAAGCTCCTATGTGGAACTTCTGATTTGTTTTGAATTCAGCGCCCCCCTGTGGACAACCATTTTGCTGATTTTGTAGGTGGTGATTTGTAACCAATCATCCTGCTATCTTGTTATAGTTAAATGTATCAGTCACTAGAATCTTTACAAAGTGTAGCGACTGCTTTTCTTCAACAAAAGGCCGCTGGGGTTTAGGTGCGCTTGCATCTCTGACTCCTTAATTTATCAGTCCAGTTGAGTGTTAAAGGTGATTTATTGTTCCAAAAAAGAAAAGAAAACTTGCAACTAACACTGATCCAGGTCCAAATTTTTGCCTTCAAATGAAAAGTGATATGAAATGCAGGTAAAAAAAGGATGAGTGAAAAACAGTCAACAGAAAATTATCAGATCTTACCAAAATCCATTGCCTCTGACTACACCTGGGTTTTTAAATAATCCGTGAAACATACCAAAACCACACCCCTCAGTGCCGATACCCGGAGGTGACATACCTAATAGAAATCATGCCCTTAACAAATATATTTTGGCTCCCACACAACGCAATGTGAAAAAAAAACAAAAGTAGATTCCGCTATTATTCGCCTTCTCTGGCACCTACTCTGTGGCAGCATTAAAGGGATATTCCGGCGAGATTAGGTGCTCAGAACAGCACCTAACTTCATCAACAGTACATATAGGGTCCTAGCCACCAAACATCTTTTTAGCTTTGCCTAATTTCTTTAGCAAAAAGCCTCAACACAACTCACCAACTCTCTTCCAGCAGCCGCTTGTTTGTAGCGAGACCTCGGGCCAGTCCATTATGGACTACAGCAGGGGGGACGCAGCTCAAGGAAGAACATTTATGATCATTGCTTTATCAATAATCACCATACTGATCATTTTGCACTGCAGACACGGTAGTTTTTCTGCCTTAGCACCAAGGTCGGATTGCATTTCCATGAAGAAATTATCATAAATCTTATAACTAACTCTGTGTTACAGTGAGTTTGACCCTAAATTAATTTTACGCCGGAATATCCCTTTAACAGGCATTTAGATAATTATATAGAAAAAGATGATGGTCTTATTTACTTTAAAATGTCAGACAAAAGCTTCAACATTAATTTCAGTCTACTTTATAACCTGGTAAACAAACAAACAAACAAACAGCATTAACTAAGAAACACAAAACTAATGTCTATGCATTGCAAATCCAATATCTATTAATTTAATGAGTTTTTAATGTAATGTAAATGAACTGAAGGCCTTAAAGTTGATCCATTGAACACTTGTTGAGACAAACTGTATTTTCTAAACCAGATGAGCTATTGCCTTGTTGAACCCAAAGAAAATGTTGGGGGATCTCCACAGTTGTTCCTCTGGAAACCACAAATATCTGCACAAAGTTCCATGGCAACCCCAGTTGTTAAGACATTTTAGGAAGGAAAAAAATGGTAGTGAGCTGGAGAAAGACTTAAATTTCCATTCCCAGAGCCACACTTGCTAGTACAGCTAAAAATAGCCCACTGTATGTACACTGAATGAAATGTTATGAAGACAGCTACAATTACACTGCTCTACAACATGCAAAATACTCATCCTTGACTCAGAATAACTAAAAGGTTTGTTGATTTCTGTTTTGCTCAAGCACGCCTTAGCAATGCAGTGTGTTTGTTTGAATGGTGTTTTTATGTTTGCTCCATATCCAAGTGTTTCTATTTGTATCAAGAGACAAGAAAAAGAAGTCTTTTTTTTTAGCTGTTGTTCAACCAATCTGCTCTCAGTTTCTTCCTGGTGGGTGTTAAATGTCTGAGTCAGATGTTCCTTTGCCTGACCAAAAAACATTGTGGTTTTATAGGAACATTTCAGCCACTCGGAAAACCTTAGATTTAGTCTACAGGACTGCAAAAGCTCTCATTAAATGAGATAAAACCCCAGTGAGTTCAGTGATTCATCAGAAATAATCCATCTTATGTTTACGCAGACACATATCTTTAGTATCACACAGCTTTAGTAAACAATGGTGTAGACTTTGAAGCCTGCAGTGATCAGTATTCAGGGTTTTTTTTCTCTGTGTGTTTGTGTCTCTCATACAGGGCGCTTCTGCTGCTAGCTGGCAGCAGGTCGGGCAGATTATTACGTGTCTTGAGCTCAGAGGTCACAGCGGGCCAGTGGTATCAGGCTGCAGCTGAGAGTGACGTAGAAAAGCACACATACTCTTCAACCTGCATACACACTTCACTGTGCTACACTACACACACACATGGATCAGGGTTGTCTAGTTAATGAGTATCAAAAGCAGCCCTGTAACAGCCTGCTCACTGTTACTTTTACTTTTAAGTGATCCAGAGCCTCTTTTTTTGACTAGTTTATCTTAAACACACACACAGTTTTTCATCAGCAGCACGTCTCCCTCTCTCTCTCTCTCTCTCTCTCTCTCTCTCTCTCTCTCTCTCTCTCTCCCTCTCTCTCTCTAGGTGTGTGTGTGTGGGTCTGTGTGTATTTGTTGTCATGGCCCCACTACTCTCAGATTGCTGTGTTTGCTGATGAAAGCAAAAAGGACAGATCGGGCACATTTGCATGTAGCGGAATATGACGCACAGAAGACAGATTGTTTTTCCATTGAGCACAGACTTTCACTCTCTCACATCAAATATATTTGTCACTCATTGACAAGACGTGTGTTACTCTCAAACTGGAGACCCAGGATGGCATGCATTCAGAGACTTACCATGCAAGTAACCACCACTGCATTATATCTAAGCAAAACAAAGTGAATGGACTATTTGTAGAGTTTCAACCTACGAGTTGCTCTTACCTTGGTTGATTTATGTATTTATGTTTTTTTTGATGGACTGAAATCTGACTGAGTAAAATCCATGAAGATATGGAGTCGTAAATTTATATTGAGAGCACCCCTTGCAGCGAAATTATGTAAGGTTAATCATTGATTTATTGATGTCCCTCTCCTGGGTGGAAAAAAAATCCTGTAGCACTCACATCAGTCTAGTTGGGAAAAACTGCTGACAAATTGCACAACTTAACATTTAGAAATTTTATATTCCAGTGTATATACAGCAATCATATAACCACTTGATACCACTGTGTAACAAATAAAAGGTCATCTTTTTCAATTTTTTTTACACACTACGCATGCTTAGTTGTGTTTATATCTAAAAAGTTTGTCATACTGGTCATGTAAGTACACCCCTTGTACAGAGGCGATCGTCCTCGTCACAGTGGTTGCTGATTTGACTCCTGGCCAAAAGCCTTTGTAGTGTTGTGCTAGCTAACTCTAAAGATGAGTTGATTCAAAGTTTCATTCACACAGATTAAAGTGAACTTGTTCATGTTTATAGTAATTTAATTTTATGGTCCAAAACTGAACAAGTTCATATCCACTTATTCAGCTTTTCCCACAGAGCCTCCTATGCCCTCAGTCATCGACATTTTAACACTTGACATAGACAGATATTCAGTTTCAAAGCTGAGAAAATGACCTTTGATTATATTCTCACTATATTTTGTCAATTAAACACATAAAAACAGCATCTTTGAAAAGCTGTTAACACATGTGAATATTAACTGTTCTTAAAAAAGCTACATCTCTCCTAAATTCTTTATTACACTCCTTCAAATGTTTACAAGAGCTGATCTAATCAGCACTATGAACCACATCTCAGTTGATCATGCCAAATGCATGTTGGGTGCCATAAATCCAACTTCCACTGCAGTGATAAACAGTGCTCAGCAACTCTCAGCAGCTTTGATACCTCTCCTGAGACAGTCAAAGCTTACCCGGGATTTCCATTGCATCTGGAATGGCTCTGACCCAGAACGACAGCAATTTTCGCCGTACGTCAATTCCTACCAGATCTGATTGTAAGGCTAATTTTGTGGTGGATACGGACAGCAGAAATTGCGAGAATGCACAAGAACCCGCGGATTCACGTGCAATTGTGCGATATCAGGTAGTTTTTAGCCACATAGGCTAACCACATAAGCAGTGGATTGTGTCCTTTCAGAGGAGGAAATCTACTTCTAGACTTATAAAATCAGCATCTCTTCATTCATTGTGTCATCCGGATGAAATGCTGTCTGAAAAGCCTTTCACTTGTTCATCTCCTTCCGTTTGCATGGTGTGAAATACAATCCACCTAAAACACAGAGTGTTTTATTTTGAAAAGAAGCCAGATGTTTTATTTTGTGTCTGTGCCTGACTTCCTTTCCAGCACAGATTAATCTGTGCTGAATTTATCCAGCACGCTCCGGTTTTTGGAAAAAATAGAACTCTTACGATCAGCTGCAGAGTCCCGTGATCTGCAGCGGAAGGAAAGGAAGCCTGTGGAAATCAGCTACGATCGGCGGATACGGCATTTTCATAGCCGTTCTGGATGCGGTGGAAATCGCCAGTCACTGTCTCCAGATTGAAGTACTTTCCAATCACTGCAAATTAAGCCACTCAGTTCACCATTCATCAGAATATATGCACGTTAAATGAATGCTCCAATGTAGCACATTTATGCTTAACACTGACCCTTTACAACAGCTAAAACATGCTCAACTGAATGTCAAAGTAGCTACACTCCCTGTTAGGCCAAATAATGAATGTAGATATGTTTAATTATGGAGTAAAAAATCATTATTATGCATGATAGGGGCTTTAGTGGGAATGTGTTAGCTTTTGGAATCAGCCTCAAGTGGACATCTGAGGAACTGCACTTTTCTTGCACTTCTGCATTGGCTTCATCTCTTCACCTCCTGGTTTTGTTGTATCTGCCCTCCATTAAAAAAAAGGACCAAGGGAGTACTAATTATCTAATATGCTTTTTATTCTAAGATGCAACCACTACTGGAGTTACGTTAACCTTTACAGAAAGTTAAAGGTTGATAGAAATCCTGGTCTGATCTTTTGAACTGTGAATTATTTTATGTTAGTCATAGATAGCCTTGACAAAAACACTCTAGTGTAGTAGAAAAAAGACACTGAGTCACCGAGTTATTAATAGAATTACAAAAATAAAAGGTGTTGAGGACATTGGTGTTGCTCTCCTTCATAACTCCTCTCTGTTCTCCAAATCAAGAGCTTATCCTCCTGATTTCATAATCATCTTTCAAGTTGAACCGTGGGAGGTGAAACAACGCTCTGATTGCATAAGAATTCTCCCAGCATCGCCGCAGTAAATCAGGCCTCCCTGAGCTGATGTAAAATATTAGTGTGCCATTACCCAAATGGTGCCGTTACCTCACTGAAGCAGCAGAAGTGAAGATCCCATTTTTATGAAGAGCAGGCACTACAGACAAACCCCGACGCGGCAAATAAAATCAGTTTATGGTCGCCTGTAGATAGGCTCATCAAATATGGTCTACGTGTATTATTCATAAGATAACTGCTTGTGAAAGGTATTGCAATCTTGTGGTTCATAAATCTGCACAGACTGTCTGAATGCTGATGACTGGCCTGTTTAAAACTCTATCGGCTGTGTGATTTATTGACTCATCAAGTGCAGTCCGTGGCCCCACACCTGCCTCAGGTGTTCTCACGCCTCTTTCTTTTAGTGTGTGTAACCGCTGTAGTCCTTGTGGCTGTTATGAGACTGGCCTCCACACAAAGACATTGTTCAAACCCTCCTCCTCCTCCTCTTCAAGTAGAGCAGATCTTTCCCCAGCGGGCTTGTCCTGGTCGCGACAGCCTGGCTCAGAGCAGAGAGCTTTTAGGCTCCTCTGACTCTCTCCTTCCCAATTAGCTGATCACAGAGAGAGGGGTCAAAGGTCAGGCTCCAGGGGAAGGGTCAGCCGTCTCCACCAGGGGCCATTCCACCTTTTCCATTAATCCTATCATGCGGGAAAGAGGCTGGTTTCCTATATGTTGATTATTTGATGAGCAACAACTGGCCTTCATTACTTCAAGACCTGAGAAAAAAAGTGCACTTATTACATCTTTGAATACTCTTTAAAAAAAAAAAAGGATGGTTGTTGATCAATTGTGATGTGCTTTGTGCATGCTTCATTGTACAGACAGCCCAGGATTTAGCTCATTGTGTCCATGTCTCGGTCTCCCTGGAGCACGTCTGGTATGTAAACAGAGTGGTGCCACACGATTGCAGAAATATGCTCATCACAACCTCTCTTTAAGCCTGTGGAATGTGTGAATCACACAAACATACACAAGAATGTGCACCTACAACCCTGGACACACAGCTTCACACACACACACTTTCACAGAAGTATAAATACCTCTGCTGGTGACAACAAATGTAATCGACCAAAACAATCACCACAGAATAAGTGGCTGTTTTGCTGCTTTGTGAGTGTTTTTGGATCGGCATTTGGGAAAACAAGATAAAAAGAAATGAACTCCAAGTCTCAACAAAAAAAGTGCTTTCTCCTCTTATTTTGTCTTGTTTTATTGTTTACTAATGTGTGGTGTGTTTGATTTATCACTGTAAGCTGCCCTCACAGATAATTTCCCTGTCGCCGATATAAACAGTCTGACATTCTTCGAGACACGACAACAAGAAGTAAAGAAGAATGTGATGTAGCAGTATGTCGCAAGGCCACGAGGTTAGAGCAGGGCAGACAACACACAACAGAGTCCACACTGCAGTTCACAACAAAGAGGTCTGGTCTGGTCTTGACAACAAGTTATCCTGCTTACAAGCTGGCTACCAAAGATACAAACAGCCTAGCATGCGAACTCTGGAGGATGTGCAGAACGCTTAGGACAGGTTCAGTCCGATGGAAGTTCAATACGTGGAGGAGAAAGTCAATCCTCAACCGCATCAGCGTGGTTACACGTAATTCAGAAGTCCAGTTTATGTCTTAAATCTCCTCAGCTGTCCTATTAAAGGGATATTCTGGCGTAAAATTAGACACCCTAACACCGAGTTAGACACCCCCTCGAGAGATGAATGTTGCCGACCGTTGCTTCTCTAGTTTCACCAACTTTAGTAACAACCGCAGGATATCGATACACAGCGGTCTCAGGAGCCATAAACAAACCTCAACCAAAACGCCACTCTATAGCCACAAATAATGCTCAGAACAGCACCTAACTTCATCAACAGTACATTTAGGGTCCTGGCTCCTGAGACCACTGTGTATTTATATCCTGCAGTTGTTACTAAAGTTGGTAAAACTAGAGAAGCAAGCAGTCGGCAACATTCATCCCTCGAGGGGATGTCTAACTCTGTGTTATGGTGTGTTTGACCCTTAATTAATTTTACACCGGAATATCTCTTTAAATCAAAGAAAACCTAAAAATAACAAAAGGTAATGTTTGATGAAGTTTGATTTTTTAGAGAAGGGTTGGCTCACAATGGACCTGTCAAGGAACCACAGATCTGCCAAGCGTCACGTTTTGAGTGTGACAGTCATGCAATTTTGCCCATTCTCACACCACACGCCATACTTAACATTTCTCACGCTTATATTTCCCCATTCAATACTCAGAATTTTTTTCTTTCATGGTAATAACCTTGGCTTGCCATAGTTCGAGTAACTCTGATTAACTGACTGAGATAACCAATCCCAGACCAATCCATCAGTCCTTTGTGCCTTAATCTTAACTAACCACAGACGGCACCATGCAATATAAAACAATCAGAAGCAACGTAAGGCGGGTCCTGGCGTCTCTAACTATCTTTCACACACAACAGCGCCAACTTTTAAAACCCACTCTACGTTAACCTGCTCTCCTGAAGACGGCGTAGGTAACTAAGACATCAGTCTTAATGTATAAATCTACATTACAAAAGGCCAAATTTCTTCACCACAGGTCAGCGGCCGCACATGTCATAACGCAAAAGTCTCACTCTTGTCATTTTACCTCGAGTAGCCTATATCAACATTCGGTAGCTTTTCAGTCCATCAGCATGAACATAATCGTTACTTTCAGTCAGCTGGCTGGAAAACAGCTAAAGCTAAACAGCTAATGAAATGTGCTCTAGCCAGATTAGTGCTGTAATGTGTTTTAGCTAGCAAACATCAATCATACCCTGACATTACTCAAATCCACAGAGCTTCTGCTGACAAACTGATATAAATTCAAACTTCTATTTTACTAAAACAGCGGATAATTGACTGGCTGATTCGAAATATGCTGCTAGCTTGACTCTGAAGTGACTCTCACTCGCCTGTTGCTTTTCTAAAAACATACTTGACTCAAGTATTTAACCTCTGCCTTAAACGTTAAAGCCTGTGATAGGCTTCATTCATTGATTTTTGATTGCTCATGAGGCAAACAGGAAATTTGATCTTATTTCTTTTCCTCTGTTTGTACCTCTGAACAGACTGCACCTGAGGATTTTATCAGTGAGGCCCAGTACTGTGCACACATAGGACCACAGACCACAAAGCAGTAACCGCTAATGCTGAACAGATGTTCATCAGCTGCTGAAATGGGATGAACTCTCTATGCACGGTGGCTGGTTTCACTGGGGCTTTAGCTGCATTAAGGCGTCACTGCAGTTTATTCGCTTGCTGCGGTATAAAATCACATGATAACAAGGTAAACGGTCATGACCTAAATTCACTGCCTGGTTCCACAGCAGGGGTTAGCAACATATAAAACAAAGTCTAAATAGGCGATAGGAGTGTGTGTGAGAAGGGTATTATACAAGGATACTGTTTTTTTATTGTGTCTGCGATTTGACCGAGATCTGGTGACTGATTCTACCCTCCCTCTCCACGAGCAGAGTGAAAGTGCTGCGCTGACCCACAAAGAGATTGAAGGGGATTGAGGGAGCAGCGCTGAGTTCCTGTGACTAACCCGGCTACACAGATGGGCCATGTGGGAGGACAAGGGCAGCAGATTTCTGAAAACTAACAGGAAAAAGATAGATTGGGTTCATTCAGAATTGACTGCGACTTTTTTCTCTCCAACATGGGATGGAGATAAGCACCGGGGTTAGAAAGAGCTAGAAGCCTCTATCTATGTGGACAGAAGTTTGGAACGTGCATCGGCAAATGATTAGCATTTTTCACAGGGAATATGATTTATCAAAGCACACAGCAATCAGTGAGGGGGAGAGAGGAGAGCTTAATCAGCCAGGGGATAGGAGGACATATGGTTGGCTGATTAGACCAGCATTCACCTGCTGACTGAGATCCACATCCTGAATTAAGATGCCTTGGTCCCAGCAGGAGGGGGAGCTGCTAAATGCAAATGTTAAGACATGCATCTCTTAGCAAGATCAAAATCCTGCTTATAATTCAGGGTCATACAGGAAGAAGGAGGCAGCGCTCTGTAACGTATTTCACAGCAGCCAGCTTGTGGGGTGTGTACAGGTTTTTACACAACAGGCTTGTTATGGTGTGTTTACATAAGTGGCCCAGGCAGTGTAGGTCAGCAGACCTAATCCTGTGTGTTGAGGGCTGCTGTCCTCTCCAGAGCCATTTGATTGACTTAGCACAGGTCATTTACTGAGATGACCCATAAAGCAGCTCAGACCTGGCTTACTTTCTCTCCCATGAGCTCGTCGATAGCTTTGATGGTGAAGACTGCTCCTTTTCTCTCTCTTCAAAAGCAGGAATATTTCCACATTTTTAAAGCCGCTGTGAGGAGTTTTTGAACAGATGCCTCTTTATGACTTACAAAAGCAAAGGAGATCGTCAATATCAAGACTCAAAATTTCTATGTTGTAACTTTTAATGCTTGGAACCACTGTGAGGGGGGTAGATTTATATACCCAACAAAAAAACCCCCCATAATATTTAAAAGAAACCAAAATGGGAGTTTTAGACACTTTATCACCAACAGTGCCCAGAACAAGTCAGTACACCCCCTATTAAAAGTAATGTATTACTCAATATCTAGATGAGCAAAAGTACAATTTCCAAAGTTTGGACAAAGCTGAGTTTAACTTAACATTTTATTGACCATAAGATGAAAATAAGGGTAATATGGCAACTAAAATTTAGCAGAACTTTGATTGGGCTGTACTCATTTTTGCATCCTGAGTTTAAATTGAAAACAAACTAACAAAAAAAAACTATATATATATATATATATATATATATATATATATATATATTGTATGCAACTTAAAAATCTTGTTTGCAATCAATGGCCTACATTTTGGGGAGTATTTTGTTGTATAGTCTGACATATAAAATGTTGATTTTGAAAGGAAACTAAAGGTTTTCTGACGACTCTGAAGGGTTGTACTCATTTATGCTGAGCACTGTATATCATCACAGCAGTTCAAACATAAAATGAAATAGTCTTCAACCTTAAAAACATAAAAGCCTAGTAAGGCAGGGTACACATTACAAGAAAATTGTGCTGATTCTGGATCTGATTCTTCCCTATTTGACAAAAGTCAGCAAAGACCTGATTATCAGATGGTTCTGAAGATTATCCTGTTATGAGGGATTTTTCTTCCCTCCGCATAGAAGATGATCAGAGCTTTCCTGAGTTGGAACTGTAAATTTTAAACATGTTAAGTATTAACGATGTGTGGGGCAGATCCATGAGAATGGAAAATCACAAACACTGTCCATCGTCACGTGAAACAACTTGATAGCAATGGTAGCTGACAAACAAAAGGAGCACAACAAACGCAACCATAGCAAACGTGTAATCTTTTTTTCTGTGCAGCTCCATTTTTGAAAGTTATTAGGGGGTTCAAGTTTTCTATGATTGACACTTGATACAGATACAGCCTATGGACGTACGAAGATTGCGTAGCTCGCTGTTTGAGGCGAGCGTCATCACAGCGACTCTTTGCAACTCTCCCGCCGAATGCATACAACACTACTGCGCAATGTTAGTTCCAGGAAGTGGGGAAAAAACGTGGAATTACCAAGAGCTTTTCGGCTTCCAATCCGTATGCTAGCGGGAGGCGGAACCAAGTTGTCCATAGTATATACAGTCTATAGATAAGACACACCATATATATATATATATATATATATATATATATATATATATATATATATATAACCATAAACCGGTCCTGACTATGCAGCTTCAGCTCTGCTCCCAATGGTCTAATTCAAGCAGAGATATTATGTCATACCCAATTGTTATCTAACTAATCTAACAGTATTAGGTATACCGTCATATCATCTCCTTCCAATTATCACCCTGTATCTGTTTAAGGACTCTTGGCTCCTCATATTAGAGCCAGTGTCCTCACCCCTCCTCACTCATCCTGGCCCTTCCTCCTCAGAGCCTCCTAACATTCAGAGTTACATTCCCTTAAGAGGACATGCTTCAGTACTTATTACACACACACAGGCAAAGGCAGGGGGAAAATAAGTAGGCCATGGTAGCATTATCAGTTTTCTCATGCCGTGAAGTTGCTTCATAGCAAAGCTGACAAGGGCTTCATGTCCGCTGGGGGATGTCAAAGGTGGTAAACAGACAGTGACATGTCTTTATGTATACCGAGTTGGGGAGGAGAAGTCTTCAGCACACAAGCAGGACCACCTCCAAATGCTGTATACGCAGCTGATTTGTTGAGATTTCCCCTTTTTATCGAGGAAAGCTCTTCATTTATTTGAATTGGTCCTTTGAGGTTTATATTTGTCTTTTTCTTTGAAATTCTGACAAGTGCTTCCTCTTCATAAGCTTCCTATTTCCTATTTTTTTTATTTTTTTGGAGAGGATTCATTCTGATTTAGAGCAGTCAGGGAATGCCTTCAGTGTGCTGATGTTCAGGTATGGTGAGAGCTGTCCAAGATTACAGTCCGTCACCAGATGGTCCGCTAACCTCCCCATATGTGATTAGGCTTTTTAGTTGCGGCTTTCAGAAGATCTCTCATTTACTGCTTATTATACTGTCCTCGGCTCAGTGTGGTGGAGTGATGGGCGCCGGGCATCTGTTCTGTAGCTTACTTCTGATAAATCCGTCAAACATTACGAGATGTTTCTGGATGCTTCTTTTGCATATATAGCTCACACTTTGTTATGAAAGTTGTGTAACTACATTTTTAATTCAAATAGAGAAACATTAGTGAAATACTGCTGAATTCAATCAGGAAGGGACAGCCTTTTGTCTCAAAATCCTGATAATCTTAGTGAAATCCCTCAGCATCCACTTGGATTAAGTATTCAACAGAAGATCC